GTGCTTGTTGCTGTTGATTTGATTAATCTGTCATAAAAGATTTATCCACAATTTCCATAAATAGCTGCATATCTAATCTTTAAAGTCGTGCACAATTTTCTACAGGGAACAAAACATTAAATTACATTAAATTAGCTTCCAATGCACTGATTATATTTGGGGGGGGGGCGGTTAGCTTAAAGGTTTAGTAGTTAATTTAATTATTACACTGATTACTGACTGAAATTTGCACTAGAGCTACCAAAATGAATATATAAAACAAATATATGTCACATAATATCATTTTTATTCCGTTGTTTATACGTATTTATATTTCTGTCATCTTATAAGTAATGCAGTTTGTTAAATAGAGAGCAAACTGCTGGAATTTCCCTAAAAATCACAATGCTAAGAACAGGAAATGTAGGTGATTTTGAATGTTACATAGTTGAGTTGGCAGACAGATTAATGTACTGGGACTTTTTAAAAAAACCAAACTACCACTTTTAGATATTACAGCATATTGCTGAAAAACCATTGTGCAGTTCTGAGGGGGAACTAGCCATAACAGCCGCTGCTTATTAAAAAATAAGCGGGCCCTCAGTATGATTTAGTAATATATAGATAAATAGAATAGTCCTTATTGTCATTGTAACACGGGGGTACAGCGAAATTGAAATATATTAAAATATAGTATACCAGCTTGACCGCTCTTTAAAAAGATACAAAGGAATGTGATGACGCACCTTTGCCTTGTTTTGCACTCGGCGTTACGTTTCAGCTTAGTTCCTGTGAAACTTGGCCCCCTTACGTTACGAACAATAACACTTCTGTAAGTAAAAACATATTCGGATGTGTCAAACTATTGAATCATTTACAAACAAAAGCATAAAAGGTCGAACGAAGAACTCAAAAAACTGCAGCGAGCCTGCGGTCAAAAAAAAAGTGCGCCACACCTGAATCAATTAGGCGGAACCTTCAATGTCCTTCAACCAACTCCGCAGCGCCACTCTGGTGAACCATGAGAATGCACACAAAACCAATATACAGTATATTGAATTAACTGTTACATTTATTGCAAAGTTATAAGAAAAATGTTTTTTATTGTTTATTGTTACCCAGTCGCATGTTAAAAGAAAGTAATTACACACGTGTAACACAAAAGACTTGACAATTAATACTCTCCTGTTTCACTATGTTGTTTATTTAATAACAGAGGAGTAACTCACGGAGGCTTTGAGAATTGAACGTGCGTTTATAAAAGACTTCACTGTCTTAACTCTTGTGTGTACCTGTTTCTATGATACATTGTATATTGTCATTTGAGACAGACGTCGGTAGGAGGCCATTTCTGTATAGATAAAAACCCTTTGCTTTGGTATATATATATATATATATATAAATGTCGTCGAGAGTGCTATTTGGTCTTTCAAAGTGATTACTACTAATTAATTGACGTTCGTTTCGCTAGAGGGTGCTGTTGCACTTTACTAAGGCTGCAGGACTTCTGAGGTTTTACCACTCTTTTTCATTAGATCTATCTGTTCTATGGTTATGACTAAAGTCGTCAAATTAAAATGGACCAGTGCAGGTATGATACTGCATTTGTGATGGTGTTATGACGACCCAACTGCAACACAAAAGGCTGCGGACAAACAAGTGAGAACTGGACCTTTAGTGAATACATTGCAATATGTATCAACTGTTGAATATGTATGTCTTGGAAACATTGAGTAGAATATACAGTATATCTACTTATTCTTACATATATATTGTACATAGTTTAATAGTCTGGGCTTCACTTGGCCTTGATTCCAACATCATCGTGTGTGTCCAGGATTAAGGCAGAAATTAAGTCTAGGATGAAGAGAAACAAGGGTTTGAACCGGCCTACATTCAGAAACAAAAAAATCTGTGGTTCGTTTTCCAAGATGTTTGTAATAAATTATATCTGTTAAAAACTGATGCGGTATTGAAAGCAAAATTAATTTTTTTTACATTTCAGTTTTGTTCATTCATTTGACTTTTTTTTTTAAAGATTAGAAGACTACAAACATGTGTTTGTGATTTTACGTAATTGTATTTCTTGACACATACCTAAATATGTTTTATACACTTTTCAATAATATTTCTTTTAAACAAAGTGAAGTTTTCTTTTACCACCTAGAGTTAAACAAAAACCATCTGCAGCTCACAGAAATTGAATTTTCTGTGTGTGCGTGTGTGGCTACATGTGCATGACAAACGTGATGCTTCTTCTTCACACAGAGAGAGAACAGGAAGAGAGTCATGCTGCTCTTCAACTACAGGAAATAACCTCTGTACCATTGACGCAAGTCTCAGGGGCAAGCTAAGTAAGTGCCGTAGGTTTGACGCACACTGCAACTGCAGCAACTGGCCACCTACTGTACGCAAGGCTGAGCAACATGTTGCACACAGTTGGACACTATTTTGTGCACTTCCCTAAAAAATGTTTCTCGTTATACTGGCCGTAACCTTAGTAAAAATAACGGCAACAAAAGAATATGAATAATAATAACTCAAGCAGCTTCCTCTTTCTCCTGCATCAGCTCAAACACATTCTGAAGATGGCTCTTAATGACAGCTGCGCAAAGAAGTTTTCCTTATATGGTAGCATTTAGCTAATTAAACGGAGTGTTTCAGAGGGCATGAGATAGTGAAACTGCATAGTATATGGAAGCAGGGGCCTGAAGCAAGACAATGGGTAGAAATTTTGATAGGATATCTGCTTCCTAAAAATACTGAACATTCTGTGACCTCAGATAAATTCAAACTTCCATTCAGGGTGCAACAAGGACAGAAGTTGTAGTGACTTACTGTAACTTGACTGTCCTATTCTGTACTTGTAAAGCATCTACAGAGGAAACTGGCTGGTGCAAGAACCAAACAGACAACTACAGCTTGAGCAAACAATGATTAAAAATCGGCCTGTTGTCCCTTTTTTCACATCTGTCAGATTCATTGGGCCAAAATATTGAAATTGTCTATGTTGGGGGAGTTGTGGCCTGAAATAAATATTAAACAGACTGCAACATTTGTATCCTCAATAAAACAAATAAAAAAAAGCATTACATTATTATGGACTCCACACAATAATTTTAACAACCACAAATTGGGCCACATAAATTAATGTGGTGGGCTGTATTTGGCCCACGGGCCTTGATTTTGACATAAGTGCCCTATATAAACCTAAAGAATAGTTCCAAAGGAATATACCTGTAAATTCCACTTATATTAGAGTCCACATTTTTCCCCTTTGTTTTAATGCAAAGTGTGAAGAATATTAGTTAGATTAGTTAGTTACAGTTAGATAATTATTGATATTAGATATGTATTATTATTATTATTGTTATTATGCACTTATATTCAGTTAGATAATTATTGTACAAAAAATATCCTGAAGTGTATTTTGTAAATGTTGTTCGAAAATACAAATACAAAATATTTGTTTTAATTTATGATGCAGGTCGGATTGAACAACCCAGTGGGCTGGTTTTGGCCCGCGAGCCGTATGTTTGACAATCCTGTATTAGACAACTGCCAGTCTTGTAGGTAGGGAGCGTGTCAAGTAACAATAGCATTCAGCAAAAATCACACAAAAAAAACACTCTGTAAAACCACAGACTTAGCGCAGTAAAGGATCGTACACATGCTAATGCTTCTCCAGGCCGTCAGTTGACCGTTATCGTTAGCTTAAATCCGTCTATTGGTCTCTGACAAAAACACACAGTAAATGTTGAGGCATGAAGAGTAGACGACTCTACACGCCGGCGTCTCATTTGTAATTCCGAGGTGTTGCAGTGATATGAGTCGAGAGGACGCGTCTGTCTGCATTACACCAGTGTTGCCTGTGAGTTGCATCACCCTGTTGGGTGGTTCATTTTCAAGACTTTTATACGCTCCCTATCAGTTGCTCCCTGGCTGCAGTCTAATTTCAGGCTCAGATAAGAGCCCTCATTTGCCACTCAGCTCTTTTGCCCTTTTACGCAGCCCAGCACTGCTTTCTTGGAGTGTGACTACGTGAAAACAACGACGCTAACTGGACGAGCTGCTCCCTGTATGTATGCTACGCATTAGTGTGTGCACCATCACAATAAAGGATATTATAGGCTCTGCAGGCTAAATGGAAACCCTGCCCCCATACACACACACACACGTATAGCTTTTTCCCCACACAAAGAGAAGCGCATGTGTGTTATTACACACACTTACACACATACAGCTGGCTGCTTGTCTGTCTGACCTACTTTATGTCTGTAGGCCACTCTAATGGAAGAAGTGTGTGTGGCATGTGTATTATCTGACTGCATCTGATTTGCACTCCTGCCCCGTCACTGGCAGATGGCACCAAAGGTCGAAAGCAAAGCTTTGTGAATGGCCTTTTCTCTCTCTCTCTCTGTCTCTGTCTCTCTCTCTCGCACACATACACAGAATATACATATATGTTTGGTTGCGTACGTATATATACTGTATATGCATGTGTATGTAAATATCTATATAGAGAAAAATATATTGTTTATATTTAATGAACTTTATTGATCCCACACTGGGGAAATTCTGGTGTTAACAACAGATCTGCCACGTATACGGTTCCTTTAGGAACTTTTTAAAATTGTTTTTGTATCAATGGCAGCGATAGAAGTTCAACAATATCATGCACCTGTGCACTTAACTCACTAGATCACTAGACCATCACTTAATTTCCTTTCAGACCAACACAGTGTTTTCCACAAACTATTCACTAATTTGAATAAAAAAAGCATTTCCTTCCATTGACATTAATTATATGTCATAAGACTGGAAACTTTTTTCGTGCGGGGGAAGTTCAACTGGAATGCTTCACAGTCGGG